CCGGGACGCCCGTGCGCCAGCTGCAGAAGGGCGCCTGCCCGTCGGGTAAGCGAGGGGCGGCGCGGGGTGGAAGGGGAGGCCCCTTCCGGGGAAACTGAGGCGCGGAGCTTGGAGGAGCCCGGAGGTCGGCCCAAGCTGGGCATCGTGGGCAGGCCCGTTGGAAATCATCTAGCCAGACCCCTGGTCTTCCAGGTGGGGAAACTGAGGCCCAGGGTCACAGAAGTGGTTTAAAGGGGAAAGTCAGTGCTCTCCTGACCACCAAGGGGTCTGGTCTCATCAACACGTACCTGCCTTGCGTATCCTTTCCGCGGGTCCCGTATTCCGCTCTGCTCCGCCCCCGGGGGTGTTGGGTGGAAGGCAGTCTTTCCTGGTCTTACATCTCACCCAGTCCGGATGTTCTCTTGAGCGACATCCAGCGTTCTCTTTCTTTTGAGCTGGTCTTAGAGTGCCGGTCTCCAGAGGGCTGTTGGGAATGGTGATGGAGCATGTGGGGTCTCTGCGCGGCTCGGGGCCTCCTGGGACAGGCTGCTGAGGCAGGAAATTCCTCTGTCCCTCCAAACCCCAGGACGACCTCCCCCCACCCGGAGCTGGCCCAGGGCTGCTTCTTGCCACACAGCTGGACCCTGTGCGTGGAAGAAAATGCTAGAAAACCCTGCCGTCCCTTTATCTGTTTGGGGCGCCTCCTAGGAAGGCGTTGGTCCAATAGGTACTTGGGGTCGCGGTGTGCTGGGCGCTGAGCCCCAAGGTCAGGGGGATGAGTCAAGCCCTGTGTGGGCCCTCGTTTCATAGCCTCAGGGCGGGAGACGCTAACCTCGAGGACAGGCTTGTGGCCCTGGGAGCCCCGTGGGGAGTATATCACCTGCAGCGCTTCAAGGATGAGAAGCATCCGAACTGAATCTCACGCCAGGGACGGATGTTCCAGGCGGCGGTAGGGAAGGGCTCTCCGGGAACAAGGAGTAGTGTGCGCGCGAGCGTGTGTGCGTGCGTGTGTGTGCGTGTGTGTGTGTGCGTGTGTGACACCCAGGGCTGACACTTATGAGTGGCCATAAGTGTCGTGCCAATGGCTTGGACTCCATCTTGCAGGCCGGACTTCCCCAGTTGACGCCTGAGTCTGTCAGAAGTTCCGGGGACACCTGCGGTCAGACGCCCCCTCCCCACACACCACACACACAAAAATAATAAAACCCAGTGTTTTCCAAGAAGGTGTCAGCAGAGCACATATGACCTCCTGGCACACGGGGGTTCCGAGGAACCCAGTCCGGGAAACACTAGATAGGCCTAAGTGTGATTGTTTGGGGGAGCCAGTGAAGGGCTTGGAGGGAGGTGAGGGTGATATGGTCAGGCTTGTGTTTAGATGGTGCCCAGGAGAGTGAGGCATGAGAGCCCAGTGCCGGGCAAAGTCCCAGAGACGGGTGGTGGGTATTTAGACACTGCCCCCTCGCGGGTGGCCCATCCGCCCTGGGGCTTGGGACTGGCGGGCCCATCTCAGGCCACGCCGATGCCTGTGAGACACAGGGGGCTCGGGGCGGGGCTGGAGACTTCCCACTACGGCGTGGTTGTGTCCACGGGGCCCCCCAACCCTGACTCCCGCATGTGGGGGGCGCTCTTAGAATAAGGCTCCAGGGCTGGGGGCAGGGAAGGCAGGGAGGTTGGAGGCCGTCTGAGCATTTGGAAACCCTCATTTCTTGACTGATCGGGTCCACATTTGTAAAGTACCTTCCCTGTGTGTCCAGCTGGCCCCCGGCTGGTGGCAAGGGCGCTGGGATGGGGCCGACCCTGTCCACGCCCTGCCCTGGAGACACCTGAGGGTCGGGGAGACACGTGGGAGGGTGAGAAGAGGGCAAGAGCCTGAAGGCAGACAGGTGCACAGGTGGCTCGGTGCACGGGGGGCGGCTGCCAGCGCGGGGGTCACGGGCTGGGGCGCCACTGCGTGGCCTCAGGCAGCTTGCTTACCGCCCCCCTTCCCATCTGATGACAGTGAGGCTGACTGACGGTAGCAGCCGCCGGGGAGAGCGGGGGCGGGGACTGACGGCCGAGGTGCGTGGGTACGTGCCCCTGATGGGTAATCCGCAGACCGTGTGTTAGTTCCCCGTGTTACTGTCGCTGCCAGGACTCCTGCCCCCACCCCCGTCTCTGTCTCATGCGGGGAGTCAGCTTCTGTGCCGAGCCGTGGACGGTGAGCGGGAGCTCTCCCAGCAAAGGAGGGGGCGGCGGGAGGGACGCAGCACAGCAGAGGCAGAGGGCAAGGTCCCCCGGGCACGGGACCCTGTGAGCCTCGGGGTGGGGGGAGCGGGGGCCTTAAAGCGCGGGGCTGGGGTCCGTGAGCACCGTTCGCGCAGTGCGGCCCCGCCCTCACTCCTGGCCCTTGTGCCGTCATTGTCCCCCCAGGTACAGGGACCTCAGACACCCAGGTTTCTGCCGGCTCCGCATGCAGAATCCCGTCCTCGCGGAATCCTTGCTGCGCCGGGGTCTCGGGCCAGCGCCGTCTCATTGGGCCTTGCCAGTCTGGCCCTTCAGGCACCGCAGAGGCGCTCAGTGAGGCAGGGAGAGGTCAAGGGGGCCTGAGGCCACTCGTTCGGGCCTCGGCTCTGGCTGGCTTGGAAAGCGGCACCGTCGTGGGTCCCGGGCTCCGTTCTGCAGGCAGGGGACCGCAGGGCCCCGGGGGCCTGGAGTCAGGTGGGCTCCACTGGGCTCGGCCGCCATAGAGCAGCATCCTCCCTTCCCCCGGCGTCCCAAGGGTCCAGCCAGAAGGCGCCGGGTGATGTCTACACATGAGGGCAGGTGAGGCACTGCCCAGCCCGGGCATTTCTGCACAGAATTCCCGCCCGCTGTCCCCTCGCTGGGCCCGCCCTCAGATGCACGGCGCTGATGACTCGGGGCCAGTCTCCAGCGCCCGCCTCTTCCCGGGGCCGGAGTCCTGCATCCCTGCCGGCTGTGGTCCTCTACCGGGAAGTCTGTTCCAGGAGTGTTTGTCACCCTCCCTCGTTCCTTACCTACCAGCCACAGGCGAGTCTTCGGCCTGGAAACGTCCCCCAAGCCACCAGTGCCCACTTGTCCCCACACCGCTGGCCTCCCCTGCTCACCTCCCTCATCCTCCCTCCCGCCACCCCTCCATGCGGCAGCCAGGATGGCCTTGGTAAATCCATTCTGCCCGTCACCAGCAGGACCCCCTCGGCAGCTCCCCGACACTGACCCGACCCCCGAGGCCCTGTGCCATCTGGTCCCCCCCACCCCACCCCGCACGGCCACCTCATCCTCCGTGCTCCAGCCTGCCCTTCTCCCCACCTCAGGACCCTTGCACATGCTGTGCTACAGCCCAAGTGCCCATTTTCTCACTTTCATGTGGCCACGTCCTCATCTGTCTGGACCTAGACGACCCCCCACCCCTGAGCTGCCTTCCCTGATCACCGCACCTTGCAACCCCCTCATTAGCCTCACGAGCACACCCCGGGGCCCCTCTAGACCCTCACATCACCTCTCTGACCCGGATCATCTGCCTTATTTCCATCCCCACCCTCCTTGCAGACCCCCAGCGATGGGGCCTCACCACCTTTCCGGGAGCTTTGCGTTTTCCCATCTCCACGGTAGACAGAACCACTCCCTGGCGTGAATACCTGTCTGTCGCCGGGATGATAAACACAGACGTAAATGTGCTCCTTGTGTCCCTGGAGGGAGGAGGCTCCCTTTTGCACTTAGCCAGAGTCCCTGCCCCTCAAGGCCTCTCTGCCCACCCCTGCAGACGAATGGGCCTTGGTGCGTACAGTTAATTCAAAACCTAGAGCCCAAGGGCAGCGTACGACGTGGCCTTTAGGAATCCGTGTTCCGTGTGCGACCCCGGTGCAGGTTCAGACGGCGTCTCTCCCTTGTTTTATGTATTTTTTTTTTTATAATTTTTTTTTTCAACGTTTTTATTTATT